TAGAAAATCCTGAGCATTTTCTGGCAGATGCTGAAGGACCTCAGTCGCCTCAAAAAATAATAATTATGTGGCGACTCCCACACTCTCAGGCTTTACAATACGAGCTTTGTTTACAATAACAACATCCAGCATCCAGCGTCATAATGCTGTTATTACACTTTGTCGTGTTTGTTAAGATTTCACTGCTTCACTGTGTGCCATGACTCAAATGTGTTTCTTTGCCAGTGCTGGGTTTCATTTCTTTATCATCTGCGTCTTACATTGTTTTGCGGGAATGCTTTCAATTATGCAGATAATATTGCTTCTTCCTTGGAACTGCACAAGACATTATATGCTCTAAAAGAAAATCCAGTAACGTACAAAGAAACATTTTGGTTCAGTGTAAATGTGACATCAATGTCTACAGACAGGACACTGCCTGAATCGGTGTAATGATATATGTCTAGTCAGTAAACAACAGAGAGCTGAACATATTATGCATAGAAGTGTCCCATTTCATTAAAGAGAGATCATTTTTCACAAATGTGAATCATTAACACTACAGTCTAAACTTAAGTCTCTTTACGAACACTTTATTGAGTGAAGTCACATTGATTTGACAGATTAACAATCTTTCCACACTGATGATCATCTCTCCTGCCAGGAGTTGAGGCCCCCTGTTTCAACTGTCGGATACAATTGCTCCCCAAAGACATTATCAGATATTAAGTGATAACCCTGATGGTGAAGTAACAACTTATCTGTGCCATCCAGTGTCTACCCATTTATTAACACTGACAGTAAATTAGATTGCTGGCATCTGGAGGGTATACTGGCATTTTGAATGCACCTTTCCATCTCACCCGGCTTTCAAAACTCCTTTGGATTTCAGTCATAAGTAATGAAATTCCATCACCCTCCTCACCCATGAAAGCAACTTGGAAAGGAAGTGAGAGGAGGCCATTAAGAGTAGAGAAAAAGAGTAATGGTCTTACCCTTTGCTTTCAGAGTCACCTCGCTGTCGGTTCTAATCTCTCTTTGTAGAGTAGACTTTCCTTAAAGGACTGCTGATGATAGGCACCTTCACCCTTACAGATACTCACACCATCTTATGAAAAGCGGAGTTGCTGGTGTTATTGTCTACCTCAGTGAAATGAACAAGAAGGGTGTGTCTTCAGGTTTAACAGGTTTGACAAAGATCACTGCCTGAATAGTTTTACTTAAAAAGAGCAAGCTATGTGAGGATTTAAAATGTCTTAAAGGTGCAGGCAGTATTAATAAATGTAAAGAGTTGTAAAACCATTGCTATATATGCAAATACTTGTCTATCTCTGTTGAATTGTGAATTTTTAAATATGTTTATTGACATGTGTTCTCGCAATTATCATTGAGTTCCATGTATTGTGACTTACAAACTGCGTTTTAGATAGATGACTGAAGTCTCTGAAGTACTTATGCAAATTAAAAGTTCATTATTCAGATCCATTCACAATCATAATTTCTTTTAGTCGCCAATAACAAATATGTTTCTTCTCGTCTCCGTGGCAGCATATGCTGCTTAGGGATGTTGTGAAAATTCCATCAAATTTTAATAAATAATTAGACAGAGTGACTTGACTAGACTGCACAGTTCATTACATGATGATCAATGATGAACCGAGAAGAACAATTTCAGGAAACAATTAAACAAAAAACAATTTGAATATACTCAAATAGCTGCATTTCATTAGGAGACTGAATTACTTACTAAACTATTCATCATCTGTAAATGCATCAACGCAAAAAGCACAGTAAATCACTCATTTTCTCTCGAGAAAACATGAATAATTTTAGCTTGCATGCTTATTTATCTAAGTATATAGACTTATTTTATCTTTGTATTTGGCCTGCGTGCTCTGAAGTGATATAATTATGTGTGTCTCAGGGGGTTATGGGTGACAAGAAGGAATTTTATATTTTTATATTCTCCACTTTCATCAATAAATGATGAAAGAAAAAAGGGAAGTATTTTCAGGCACTTCTTTTTTGGAAGTGCATCAATAATTTTCTCTCTCATGTACAGATCAATATTATGCACATTTCACTATTTAACTGCTTATGTAAAAAAACAGACAATACAAGGTAACAAGATTGAAATAAAAAATACGCTTATTAAATGAAAAGCATATACAACGATAACATTTGGAAAGTAAACAGTATTAATTAAGTAATAACATGAAACCATCAAATAATAAAGATCTGCTAGTATGTTAGGCTACTGAACCATTACTACAACCACTACTACAATGATATAATAGAATTGCATATAGTAACAAGATAAAAAGTGATTAGACACAAACTTCTTTGTCAACTTAACTCTTTATGGAGCATTTATGATCATTGTTAGGATTTTGATTTGCATCATAAAAGCGAATGTAGAGTCTTGTTAAATCCTTCAAAAGCCCTCTTCGATTGAAACTTTTAGTTTGTGTCCTCTAAAAGTCTAAGCCTTGGTAAACTACGTGTTCCTATGCAGCTGGATATAATCAGGACTGTGTGTGGCAGTAAGACGTGATGAGGCATTTGCGTTTCACTTCATCATTTTTTTTTATTTCTCTTCTGTCTGTTCAGTTGCTCTATTACCCAAGCAGGCAATTTCTTTCAATATCTGGCAGAAACATGACAAGCAGTCCATCTCATCAGATCACAAACCCATGCATCCACTAGAGTCCCCTGATACAGCATGACAGTTATTCCTTGGCACAAGTACTCATATTGTCTTGGAATGCCTCACACTTCTAAAACCAACCATTTACGGGACTCTAAAATGCTATAGCTAACTTAAGGAGAAGAAGAAAATACCTGTGATGTTAAAGATGTAAATGAAGAAAGAATAACCCTTCCTTTTTCTTAGCTATTAACTCTAGTTAGTGGTTACTCAACTGTAGTTACTCAGGTCTTTTATCTAATAGAAAAAAATCTGCCATACCTACCATTTTTTGTGTGCTTGTTTGTTTATTATTTTCCCAATTTGTCATAGAACAATAAATACTTTCAATAGTAAAAACTTTAAAAAGACTGTGGAAAACTTCTGTGAGTAAAAGTAATGTAATGAGATAATATTTTTAGATAAGAACAACTGAACAATGTTCCTTAAACATTTAAATGGTATTTAAACAAACACATGAACTATAGTTAGCTTTAATGCAATTATTACATTTTTAATTTTTATCTCTCTAAATTTTCTTTTCAACATACTTTAAGTCAATCACCCACTGAGCTATAAATTCCTTGCAAGATGATCATCATGTGTGGAGTTTAACTCTGTGATAGCAAACGTATGCACCAAAATAGTCTCTGATCTTGTCATTTCCCTAAAGGACGCCCTAAATTAAGCCTAGCAGGCAGTGGGAATTTATGATAATAAATTCCCCTCAGGAGGAATCTATACATAGTTCTTGGGTAGAGGTAAACCTTTTTTATGTGTTTACAGATAAAAGAGAACGTAGAGACAGTCACAGCAGTATATGACCAAAAAAAGTGTTGCGAAAGCAAACATAATGCCAAAAGTGTAAGCAGAGTGCTGACGCCTAAGTGAACAGGTATGTATGCAATCACAGGGAAAAATCCACAGGCGTATCTTCCTTTAGTTGAAACTGCCTGTGGCTGTCAATACAGTTGAAATCTTAGTACTTTATTCTAACACTTTGGTACTTTTGTGAGTGAGTGTCAGTGAGTCTTAATCTTCCACATAATGTTCAAAAAAATAAATATTTGACAGCTCATTTTCTAATATTTATACATCCATATAAAACTCATTATTTGGTTCTTTAAATAAAGCTTTGGAATAAATGGAAACAAAGTCTTGACACCTGTAAGTCACAGATTACAATGTTTGTACACATACAATGCATAGCAATTAAGTGTGATTTACAATAGTTGAATGCAGTCTCAAATGTTTGGCAGATAATTGTCATGCTTGAAACAATTGAGGAGAACACCATCATAAATCCTTTGTTTCTTCAGAACCCTAGCTTAATTGAAAATGGTTATTTTCTCAGGTTATTGCCTTTTCTAAGTGGAAATGTATTTTCTTCCATCCCACTGCAGTTCTTTGTGTTTTATTAAACTGAAAAGTATTGAGAAATTAAACAGAGGAAAAATTCATAGCTATTAACTTTTCATGTTGGGAATATGGCCTTGAGAGCCTTGAGACAGCTTATTTTGCTTATATTCATTTAATCTATCCGCGAGTATTTTTCTCCTCTCTAATGGTATCATTCCGTCTAGTCTCTGTTTATTTGCTCGTTATTTCTGTCCTAAAATATTTATTTTCTTCTGCTACTTAAATAGCTTTTTGTCAAGACATAATAGCCTACCTATGTTCTCCATATGTACTTGAATCACATTATTGTTGTTTGCACACATATTTTTCGGTCTGTGTCATAGGGCCTGTGCTGAAGTGAACAGAGACAGATCGAACACACTGATGGTTGTCAGACATGCAGATGTGACCTTGATCATCACTGAGGGGAAGAGGTGGTCATAAATCCAGCGATTATGCCATGGAAGCTCTATTAATTCTGCTCCAACACAGATGTGAATTACAACCAAGATTTTTTTTTCATGGGCACTTAAATCATTTTCGATCACTTCTGCACAACATATGTACTACATGCTAGAAATACTACTGGCTTGTTCGAGTAAAGCCGTTTTAAACCATTCAGATAAAAATAAGTGGTTAAGAAAAATATCTGTGGGCATCAGACAAAACGTGGAAAAAAAGAGAAAAAAGACACTCGTGATTTATAAGTGTGGGAGCATTTTTCAGAAAACCTTTAAAATACATACACCTATTCTTACAGACTAAAACGACTGCAGTCTTTTCTCTGCCCTTGTGTGTAAAAAAGTAACAACCCAACTCAGGCTCAGCCTGAGGTTAGAAGTGGGTTTGACCACATATGAAATGCACCATTTAGCTCATGTTTGCCATTCCTCCCTCCACTCAGCATGAAGATAATTGGATATAAAACATCAGTGAAAAGTCATAGCTACCCCTGCATGGCCTCACAGGCCCAATTCATACAATAAAACACCATTAAATCTCATCAATGCTGCTTTAGATGTGGTCGACAGGGTGAGATGGCTCAGTGGTCCATCTAATATTTCATGTAGATATGGTTCTGACTGACCTCCAACCCTAGTTGAATGACCCATTTCTTTATGTTTCCTGGTGCTGAGGTGAATCGTCTGTCTTGCATTTTTCTACTAAATTTTCTTTTTTCATTGTAGAGCTGAGTTACACCTTCGGGGCCCTTCAACAACTATTCTAATATAAGAACTATAAAGTACTAGACCAGTGCAAATACATGTAGTGCAACACTTGTGTCTTTAACTAATTTGAACTTGTTTTGGTTAGATTGACTTGCCTTGGAGCTTAAGTCTTTTGTTTGTTTTGAAATCCTTTATCTGTAACTTTATGTTGTCTACCACTGCATGGCTGCGTTTCTCTGGTTCCTAAATTCCACTTTTCAGTAATACCACTTACAGTTGACGGTTAAATACCTTTGAGGGAAGAATGTCACCAACTGGCTTATAGTAATGGTGGTATCCTATTACAAAACCATTTTCAGTGAGCTCTTTAGAATAGTCCATTCATTCTCCAATATTTTTAACAGCAGGAATAGTGTAGTTTAAAAATCATGTAACTCTGTTAACTCCATTAAAACCCCATGATCTCATATTTTAAGACTTTTCCTAAAACTGACTTATTTGTCAAATGCCGAATTGTAGAATGTGTGGTATAAAAAGAAAACAAAATGATACAGAATAATTGTTTACAGCCATTTTGAGATGCTGCTATAACGTGAGCCAGAGGTAACTAGCTGTAAGTGATAAATAAATATATATGGAACTGTAGTTACACAAAAGATAAATAATTACTCCTGAGATTTTGAGTTGGAGCAGTGGTCAGAGTGTTGAGTGTGTGACCAAACATCGAAAATTGCTGACTGTACAGACCAGGGGAGTAACAGCAGCTGAACTCAGCAAAATGTTCAGGGTGTGGAGAACTAATCAGAGCAAAAGAGCGAAATCCACAGCAGAATAGCCAAATGGGTTTTAGGCCTGAGTAGAACAGCTGAGGAG